CTCTCTCTCTCTCTCTCTCTCTCTCTCTCTCTCTCTCTCTCTCATTTTCTCTTGTCCTCCTCCCTGTCGTCTACTCCCTCTCCTTGTGTACTAGTAATTGCATATGAATGAGCGTCGTTGAGAGAACAGACAAAATATAATTACCCCTTTACTCTGCCTCCTTTTATAACGTGCAAGTGGGCCGTAAAGGCACACGGGGAAATGGGCAGCTGGCGCTCAACCATCATCAACGTGGCCAGCCTTGTACGTGATAGGCACAGTAAGAGGGAAAGTGCAAAATCAAAGAACATGGGAGGCCTCCCAATGCTGGCTGATGAAAAAATAATCAAGAAAACGATGTAGCATACTAACAAATGTACTGCGTCTCGTATTCTTTTTGCCGTTGGCATGGCCCATCTCGAGCGTGTTGCATTGCCTGTTTAAAGGTAAGGTTCTGAATAGATATTGACTTCACAAGCAAAACTGTCTCATTGGTGGATTGGATCATCTCGCGCATGCTTCATTGTCTGCAATATAGGTAAAGTTGCTGTGACTTTGGATCTACTCATCTGGGCGGAATAGAGGAAGTTGTGGTGATAATTTGTAACACACACACACACACACACACACACACACACAGAGCATTAGTGCAGTTTGCATCCTGTCTCAAGCATATGGTTCTGGCCTTGCCTTTCTTTCTTTCTCTCTCTCTCTCACACACACACACACACGCACGCACACACACACATACACACACACGCCCGTGCATCTTTCTGTTTTCATACGTTTGATGACAGTCAATGTTGCACTCACGTCCGGCACCCTGACATGTCATGTCCAATTTGTAGACGGGCTCACGGCAATGCCTCTACAATTGCGGTCGGCATGCCTCTGTGTTCCTTGCCTGTGGGAGACATGTTGCCCGCGATATCTGTCTACGTCATGCAATTCGGTGCAGCAACTGCGAATGCGAGATTTGGAGTGCTGTCTGGTCTGCAGGAGTGGTCACCTACCATAAGCAACAACTACTCATCCTGCAACCCGAACACTGATCGACGTCTCGTGTCATTCTACAGTCGTCTGCAGTTTTTTTTTTCAATCGTTTTTGGCCGTCTATCGGCGCCGATCGACGGCGCGTGTAGCTTCCAGGGGCCGATCTGCCCCCCCCCGGTGCCCACTCGGCCCTCCGCCCTCCGCCCTTCGCCGAGCTCATCGTCGGCCCGCGCCGTCGCCGTCCTCCTGCCATGCCGTCGCCGTCCTCCTGCTGCCGCGCCGTCGTAGTCCTGCTGCCGCGCCGTCGTCGTCGTCCTCCTGCTGCCTTCCCGCCGACTCCCTTGAGTGCTGCCGCACACCATCTCACCGAAGGTAAGCTTTGTCTTCTTCTACTTCTTTCTTCTTCTTCTTCTTCTTCGTCGTCGTCGTCGTCGTCGTTTCTTCTTCTTCCTCTTCTTTTTCGTTTCTTCTTCTTCTTCTTCTTCTTCTTCTTCTTCTGCTGCTGCTGCTGCTGCTGCTGATGCTTCTTCTTTTTTGTTTCCTTCTTCTTCTTCTTCTTCTTCTCTTTGTTTCTTCTCCGTGTTTTTCTTCTTCATTTCTTCTTCTTTTTTGTCTTCTTCTTCTTCTTCTTTGTTTTTTCTTCTTTGTTATTTCTTCTTTGTTTCTTCTTTTGTCTTCTTTTTTATTTATTCTTCTTCTTCGTGCATTTTCTTCTTTTTCTTCTTCTTCACGGATCGTAATCGTCGCCTCCTCCCCTCTCTGTGACACCCTCCCTCCCTCTTCCGCCGTACCCCCCCACCAGCTCCACGTCATCGGCCGCCATCGTTGCCTCCTCCCCTCTCTGTGACACCCTCCCTCCCTCTTCCGCCGTACCCCCCCACCAGCTCCACGTCATCGGCCGCCATAGCCCCCCTCCTCTCTCATACCGGCCCTCCCTCTCCCCTCTCCATCGCCTCCCTCCTTCCCTCTTCGTGCCGCCCTCCCTCCTCCCTCTTCCTCCCTCCCTCTTTACCCTTCGCCCCTCCTCCCTCCTACCTCCTCCCTCTCCCCTCGCAATTGCTTCCCTCCTCCAGGCTCCTACCTCCTCGCTCCCCTCTCGCCATAGGCTCCCTTCCTCCTCCGCCGCCATAGCTTTCCTCCTTCCGCCTACCTCCTACCTCCTCCCTCCACCTTCCTCCCTCCTCCTTCCTCCCTCCCTCCTCCCTCCTCCCTCCTTTCTTTATTTCTTTTTCTTCTTCTTGTTCTTCAACTTCTTCTTCTCGCGCCTACCTCCTACCTCCTCCCCCTCCCTCCGCCGCCATAGCTTTCCTCCTCCCTCCTCCCTCCTCCCTCCAACTTCTTCTCGTTTCTACTTCAACTTCTCTACCACTCCTGCACCCCCTCCCCTCACCCTCCTTTCTCTACCGCTGCCCCCAAAACACACAAAAATCCACATCAGTAGAAATCAGAAACGAGGCCGGGTATAGGTAGTACTCAGAATGTGCAGAAAGGCACCGGAACCCAAAAAAAAAAAAAAAAAAACAGTGCATTTTTTGCATGGTCGGGGTACCCCGGGCGTGGTTCCCCCCTGGGCAGCTGCAACTGTGCTGGGTTGGGCCGAATGTCATGACCGATATGGCTTCAGTTTTGAACACCGGGTCACAGTTGCAGTGGTAAAGGCATCTGGCTGTCATAGCTGAGGTCACTGGTTCAATTCCGTCTGGCTGTGGATCGATCAGGGCTACAATGACAAACTTACCGACACTGTCCACCATCTTTATTGAATTTATGTTGTCTTTTTTTTTAGCTTGAAAAATATTTTATTCATCTGATTCCATCAGGATGCCAAGTTTGCAGTCATTAGCTGTGCACCAACTATGTGAACTATTCCTTTTCTTTTGTTTTGTACACACCCAGATGTGTGAACCATGTCACCACACGGGCTCTATGAAGTATAGTCTTCAACAAGGTCAGAAAGAGAAAAAGGTTGTGTCATCCAAGGATTTTGCGCCGTGCTTTTCTTTTTTTTCGGCCATTTCTTGATTTATCTGTGGCATCCTTGCGCAGGGGCCGGACTTATCTTCTCTGCATCGTTATAATTTTAACAGATGTCCCCGGAGGACCCTTTGTTTGCTGCATGCTTGTTTTTTTTTCTTTGTTTACTTTTTGCTTTATTTCTGTTCTCCCTTTCATTTGCCTATGGCTCCCCTGTGTGTGCATTCGTACCGTGTGCTGATGCGTATCGTGATTGTGTGTGCATTCGTACCGTGTGCTGATGCGTATCGTGATTGTTGGAAAGTCTTAACGGCGATTTGACTACGATTTTGTGCATTCGTACTGTGTTGATTTGTATTGTGATTGTTGTTGTTAGTGAATATAAGCTCCCCTGTCGACTAACCAGGATGACGTGGGCTGTGAAATGGGGCTGGCCGGGAACATCTTGCAGGAAAGTGACTATTACTGGTTCGGCGGAAGCTGTCCAATTCGCACAGTATCTTATAACAACAAAAGTCCAGAACAGCGCTGCAGAGTAATCATTTGACACACAAGCCCCATCTCTCCCCTCTTCTTCCCCTCCCCTGACCTTTCCACCCTTTCTCCTCGGCTTCTATCATCCCCTCTCATGCAATCTATGCACACCAAACCCCAAATCTGTCCCTGTCACATGGTTTCTTTAGCTGGTGGATGATGTAGGTTTATCTATGGCTGTAACCCCCTTCCTCCTTTGTTTGCATCACCCCTTCACATGAAATCCAGGCACACTCGCACCATTCGGAACCCCAAATCTGTCCCCACCACATGGTTTCTGTAGCTGGTGGATGACGTAGGCTTTAGCTACGGTGGTAATTGCTGGATGGATGTGGCATTGTCCTTTTTGTGATGCTATATGTGTTACCAACTGAGCCATTGGGGTCACGTTGGTTGCCCGGCTGGCTCGACCGGGCAAGGGCCAGTGAAGATCGCTGCTGAGAAAAAAAAAAGAAAAAAAAAAATGCAAGGAAAATAAGCAAGCGGGATAGACAAAAAGCCAAATTGCAATATCACGCTGAAGCCCAGATAGTCGTGTACCAGCAGAAAGCACAATGCATTGAGATGCCTGCCTAATAAGAGCAATACAGTGAACTCAAATGTCAATGTTGGCCCTCTCTCGCCATCACCACCAACATAGTATCCAATGTCACCCTTCTTGATTGGCGCTTAGCGCCCAGCATATCCTACTCAGCACCTATCTAGTCTAGACTATGATACGCAACAGGAGTCACTTCAAACAGAAGACCAATGTATGTGACGACGTCGCCAATGCAGGCTGCCAGCACACACCAGTCAAGTGTCCCTTCCCCCTCTCAACCTCACTCCCTTCTCTCCCACGTTGTGCGCCTCCTCCTGAAGACCACCATCGCCCAACCCAGCATGCGCCCATGCAGCCCAGCTATGGCTGCCATGCGGGGTAGAGGTTCTGCGTTTTTAACGGTGATGGCATTGACGCCTCTATTGTCAATGCACATCCTCAGTGATCCCCCTTTCTTTGGAACAAATAAAACCAGTGAACCAAAGGGAGATTTGCTAGGCCGTATCCAACCTTTCTTTCTGAGGTCTTTGAGCAGTCACCGAAGTTCATCCACTCAGCCGGGGCCATCCTAATGATCCTTCCCTTTCGGGTTTTACTGCCTAGGATGTTTTTTATGGCATGAACGACTTTCCTCTCTACGACTCCTGAAGGCTCCTCAAACAGATCAGGGTACTTGGCGACTACAACATTGATTTTGGGGGGTGACTTAATGGCCTCCCCTTTCTCAAAAACAAAGACCAGATATAGACCTTCGTCCTGGTTCTGTTTATAGTAATTATAGAATGCTGATGCGCACATGCATCCGTAGGAGTCTACTAACCTGCTAGCCCTGTATTTTGCTAGTTTAACTGTCCTCCCATCCGGCAACACATGCATAAGCATATTTTGGTCCCAGTCAAATTGGGGTTCTGGTTACTATGGCATGAACGATTTCCCTCTCTACGACTCCTGAAGGCTCCTCAAACAGATCAGGGAACTTAGCGACAACAACGTTGATTTTTGGGGGTGATTTAATGGCCTCCCCTTTCTCAAAAACGAAGACCAGATACAGACCTTCGTCCTGGTGCTGTTTATAATAATTATAGAATGCTGATGCGCACGTGCATCCATAGGAGTCAACTAACCTGCTAGCCCTGTATTTTGCTAGTTTAACGGTCCTCCCATCCGGCAACACATGCATAAGCATCGTTCGGTCCCAGTCAAATTGGGGTTCTGCAGCGTCCAGGTAGTACATACCCGACAACATTTCGAAAGGTAAGTCATCGCTAACCAGGAATGAAATCTGGTGATGAAGTTCCCCTCCTCCATAGGAGAAGGTGCAGACCACGTCCTTGACATAGTCGTGGACAACCATGTGCTCCTTGTTGGCTAAGGTGAAGGCTACAGAGCTCTGCACGTGGTCCCCTAAGCGCAGCCTCTCAACACAGTTGGGACTTATGAGCTTTCGCATGGAGCCATTGTCTGCAAAGGCGCCACTCTTGTGGCCACCTACACTGACCTCCACAGCAAAGTGCTCCCCTCCAGGACCTTTAGACATCGCCACCAAGGACTCACGAGGGTCTCGTTGATCACTCCTCCACCTCCTCTAAGGCTTCAGACACGTCTTATGAACGGAGTATCATTTGGTCTAGAAGCACCTCCCTGAGCAGAAGCTCCGCAAGCACCCAGTGTGGGTGGGATCTTCTAAGAAACCTTTGCGTTCTTGCACTTAAACTGCTGATGCCCATATTGGCCGCAGTTCACGCAAGCTCCTCGCGTATAATGATCTCTCCACACGTCTTGTTCAAGGCCAGGTCTCACCCATGCAGATGCATTCGGTGAAACCTGCGCCTTGCCTTGACTCTTTGGCTGGCCACCTTTACGCTGGCCTGCTGCCTTACCTTTGGTTGCTGCGGTGAGGTTTCCTCCCTTTACACTCGCTGCCTAACTATGTCTCATCCACAAGATTGGAAATGTCATCAATCTCCTCCTGATTCCCATACGAATTGATCATCATGAGACGACTACCCTTCTTCTTCCAGGATTGCCGTACCTTCTACTTTCTCTGTGTACAGCAACTTGCTGCGCCCCCTTTAGCTAAACCTAAGACCTTCTTGCTAAAGGAAGCAAGATCGTGCATTTTGATGCTACCCTGACTGACCAGCATGTTCTTCATGTCTGTGGGAAGACATCTCAGATACATGGTCAGTAGGACTTGGGGATCATAGCGCATACCCTGGACCAGGATGACTTTCTCTACAGCATTGGTGAGCTCACGGGAAATCCCTTTTTATGTCAAGTTGCGCCACCACTCCTCTACCAACTCCAGAAACGAGTCTAAATCTTGGGTCTTCGCCCAACCGTTCATCCTCCTACCGAAGCCATGGGTTGCAACTAATGGTCAGCAGGACTTGGGGATCATAGCGCATACCTTGGACCAGCATGACTTTCTCTGTGGCGTTGTGAGCTCACGGGAAATCCCTTTTTATGTCAAGTTGTGCCACCGCTCCTCTGCGAACTCCAGAAACGAGTCTAAATCTTGGGTCTTCGCCCAATCGTTCATCCTCCTACCTTAGCCATGGGTTGCAACTAAGGATCTTGCTGCTGAACCTCTGAGGTATGAGGCAGCCATGATCACTTCCTCATCAGGCAACCTCCGCTTGGCCCTCGCCCATGTTGGAACAGTCCTCAACCTTGTCCCCTGAAAAGGTCTCAGGAGGAGACAACGGGGTCTTTGGATGGAACCTGTTGCTGCACAGGTGGCTGGACTGGCTGCTGCCCTGCAGCTGCAGCGGCTGGACCTGAGGATGAATAAGCAGCAGTCTGTGCACTTGCTGTTGACGTACTACCTGACAAGGATATGCAAAACTGAAGGACAAAGGCGCCTGACATCGCTGGCAACACAGACAGCGATGGGGTCTTTGGAAACCATTCTTGATGTGGTCCAGCTGGAACCTGTTGCTGCACAGGTGGCTGGATCGGCTGCTGCCCTGCAGCTGCAGCAGCGGGGCCTGAGGATGACTAAGCAGCAGTCTGTGCACTTGCTGCTGACGTACTACCTGACAAATATATGCCAAACTGAAGGACAAAGGTGCCTGACATTGCCGGCAATGTCGACAGAGATGGAAATACTGCCTGTGTCGTGACAGTAGGCTTGCCTGTTGTGGATGGGACTGGTCTTCCCATCCCTTGCATGTCCCTAAGTATCTGGTCAAGGGTTGACTGGATATCATCCAGTTTGCTGTCCATGTACTTGTACATGCTCAGCATGCCGGCCTTGAGCACCTTGCTTTGCCATCAAGGGTCGAGTCATCCAACCCTTCTAATGCAGCCTTATCCGCCTCGCTGCTCTCCAGCCTAGCTTTTCTATTTCTTGCTTTCCTCTCTCTTGTTGCCACGTTTCTGAGTTCGTTCTCTAACTGTAGGTGGAGATTTGCTACCTCTTGGATCTCTAGATCCTTCCTAGTGGTTGGATTTGGCTGGCTAAACTGCGAGCCTGCCATCTGACTAGAGGATGATGACTGTCCTGAAGAAGACAACGATGAGACCTGTGTGAAATGAGGCAAGTACTTGTCATGTTCAACCTCGCATACATCAATGAACATTCACATGAGAGCTTACACGTGCGAAGCCAATTGAGATGCAGTCAACACTTGAAGATGTCGTCTCCAATGTTATACAAGAATGTCGTCTCCAGCGGCTCTGCCGCACACACACACAACGGATCTCAACCAGATAGCGGCTATGGCTTCTCCCCTCCTCTCTCTCTGGCCGCCGTCCTCCTGCTCTACCGTTAGCCTAGCTATGGAGAATCTCTCGAGCGCCCTCTTCTTCTTCGGGCGGCACAGTGCCCAAGTTGCCTTAACGCAAAAGCAGCAGCAGTGCTTCCGCATTTCGCAACTGAACAAGTGATGAGCCGTTGCACTGTCGCAGCTAAATATAGGACTTGCCTTGGCTTGGCTTGGCCTGCTTCAGACCGGTACCGGTCGGCCGTGGCCTGTCTGCTGCAAAGATTTTGTCGGTCCGGTAATTTCCGGACTTTCCTGGGACATGCTGCAAAAATTGGATTTGGGACTGTTGCACTGGACTGGACGCTTTTGGACTTTTCTTGTCGGGTACCGGATGGACTCCTACCGGCCTACAACGCTTCGGTGCCGACACCTGCCGACCTACGACGCTTCGGCCTTTAGACCCTACGGCCACCCTACGGGACGGCCCTGGGACTTGTCGGGACCTCCGGAACAAACGCTCAGCCGTCCTCTCTGCTTGCAATCTCCTCTCGTCTCGCGGTAGAATAAGAGTAGTTAGAAATGGGATTCCCCAAGGATCCAACACATCAATACCCTTTGGAGGCCAAATAACCAAACTCGATCATGCAAAATACGGCGGGACGCCCAACTATTACTTATTGTAGTCTTATCTCTACTTGGTAGTTTAGTAGCAGGCGTGTTTGGTCGCTTTCTTGGTTCACGAGGGGCTGCCTTGGTAACAACCACTTGTGTTTCACTTTCTTCAGGTCTGTGTTTCATAGATTTTTATGAGGTTGCACTGGGAGCCAGTGCTTGTTATATCAAATTCGCACCATGGATTTTGTCAGAAATATTTGATGCTTCTTGGGGTTTTCTGTTTGATACTCTGACTAACAGACCCTGAAACACTACAGGCATATTCTCGGCTCCCTGCCGTGCCAACCTCCTGTCGTCAGCTCTTTCCCCCTCACTATGGGTTCCGCTTATTGGCTAGAGCAGATTACTATCTGCACTAGTGTCCTCTATGGGACCTACCACAGCATGTGTCTGACCGAGTTGCAAAAATAAATAGATAATAAATAATCGGTACGTAACCCAGGCAACAGTTCCGGTGATGTGAACAGCATGCACACAGACTACGTAGATGATCGTACTGCTGCTTCGACCAGTTCTCAAACAGTTGTAATAAACAGGACTGGAAATTGATTATTATTATGTGAACACACTCGCGCAACTGGAATCGTTTCTTTTGGAATTTAGGGAGGTGTAGTGTCCAGGACACATGAGTGGGCAGGGTTTAGGGTTTAAGGGGGGAAATATGGAAGTAAGGGATAGTTTGTTAACTAGCATTACACTGCTGAGGACTGCTCGTGTTTTTCAGCCCGCTTAGGCTTTCCCTTCTTTTCTGGGTAGAAATTGATTTTATTACTCCAGTTTTTCCGCGAATTATGCTCAAGGGGATGCTGGACCCGGTTTCCGCCCAAGCCAAAGCTGGGTAATGGCCCCAGTTCACCGGGTTGAGATTCCCGGCCTCCTTTTGCAATCGATAATATATATATTATATATCCATACTTCGAAGGGGAAAAAAAAAGCAGAAACAAAAAAGGAGGAGCAACTGTCTATGTGCAATATATTTATCTTTCCTTGTGCTTCCATCTTGTAGGGCGAACTCTTACCGCCGTGGAGGAGAATAGAGCGCGAAGTCAAGTCCACCACCCGAAGGAACGGTTTCATTATGCCCTGCGTTTAAGTAGCAGTTTTGTGAGGGCATCCACTGTTTTGAAGCGACTGCACTGTTTCAGACCACAGAGAGTGAAGGCAAAAGAACAGGTAAGAAAGAAGCTGGAGATTGGCAGCGGGACGGAATACATGAGAATCAGACTGGCATGTGCTTGGTGCAATCTAGGGGAAATCCTGCCTGCTGCCGGATGAAAGAACAAGGAGGAAAGCCAATGGCCGTGTATATTCTCTCTCCTCTGAAGATCATTGGTGTGCCAGGTGTGTGCATGCGTGGTGATTGCCAGCTAGCTGTAAGTAACGGGCCTCCGGAACTCGATCTGACCTGGGGAAGCTGTAACCACCTTTCGGAGTACACCTCTCTTTCTAGCTCTGTGGCATCAATTGGAGACAGTCTCTTTGCAGCGAATGAAGCTGTGTGTATTCCCACTGCTGAGTCCTGGATAAAGGTAACGTGTTTCTTACTTCATCTATCTTGCAGTCGCAAACAAGCTTCGTCAAACGGAGAGCGAGAAAAAGGGACTGGATGTCCGAGACAGTGGGGAGAGAGAGAGAGAGGGAGAGAGACGGAGCGAGGGAGAGGAGAGAGAGGGAGAGGAGAGG